TCTTTTTGCCCTCAGGATAGTCTCATTGCTAAACTTATCTCTCCTCTCTTCCTTACATCGGCCCCAGTTCCCAGGATGCCCGATGTCTGAGTGCCTCTGCTCCCACCAAACACCCTACCTCTACTGCTTTCATTTGTTCTCTGGCTCTACAAACTTTGCTTGAGCCCATATTTTGGGTCAGGCCCTATGCAGTACTGTTGATGCTATAGTACCTTCTTCTTAGAGGGCTAAAGCAACTGCCTTCCAAATCTACCTGCCAAATATCTGCTATTTATGAGAGTTTGGAATTGAGAGTAGAATAAGACAACCAGTGTTTACATATATGTGATACAGGTATTGACTTAAGTTTTCTTACCTAGACCCAGTGCATTCCTTCAAGGTTGGAGGTGAATCACAGAGGCTCATAAAGGGCTCTGAAGTGAGACCCTCAGACAGGAAGGCCAACTTACTCTCCTGGCCCTACCAATGTAGTACTATGGCTAAATTGCTGTCTCTGTGAGCCTCCACTGCCCTAACTGGAAAATGGGCTTAACTAGTTGGTCCCATTTTGGCTGTGGCAGATTCACCTGGAGAGTAAAAAAGTAGATCTCCTGAGTTCTAACCCCAAGATTCTAGAGCTGTGAGGTAGTCTAGGAATCATGTTCCCCCCCTCCTTTTTTTAAGATTAACAAGGGATTCTCCAGTTTGAGAAACTCAGAATTAGAAGGTGTTTAGGGGTCTTTCCATCTCTAATTCTAACTCCTTATAGGATCCAAATTAGAAGGAATCAGCCACTCTTGCTGTCCTCTCAAGTGACACAGTTCTCCCAACCATCCACAAAAATTATCTAACATCAGGAACAATCTCTTTGACTGAAATAGGGTCAGGTCCCAAGTTCTACACCCTTTCTAGTGACTAACAGGGCATTCTAGTCTTCAATCCTGAGAAACAGGATATAGAGTCTCTATGTCAAATCTCTATAAGAAAACCTACAACTTGGAACTCCTCTCCAACTCTCTCAAACCTCTCTCTGGCATTTCACTGGGCTATAACAAAAATACAATGAGCCCTTATATTTATCAGTATGGAAAATAGGCATAAAAACAATAACTTCTCCCTCTCTACCCCTGCCACCCACCTCAATCAGGATTTAACTCTCTCACTTTCAATACCATGAAACTGGAGCCATCTCATATTTGACCCTCCAAAGGGTTTCTGAGGCTGTAAATCACCAATCTTCAGAGAATCTGATGGATTTGAACTTCCAGAGAGACACAGTCTTTATTTTAGCAGTGAAACTCCCTACAGACCAGAGCTCTCTTAGGAATCAACAGGGTAATTAAAAGAGAAAGCACATTAAGGCAATTTGAAAGCACACTGAAGCTCCTCATACAGATAAGATATAACTTTTAAAAGCCCCATCACCACCACCAAGATGGGCTGCTGGGCCCTAAGGATAATGATTCAATAAAGGCTTCAGCAATTTGAGGACTGCTGAAGCACAGAGGAAGCACACAGAAATTTTAATATGTGGAGTAAAATGTTTCAACTCTTTAGTTGAAGTTTAGGAATTTTCTCTCTTACACACATACACACACACACACCCCTCTGTAACCACTTCTTGGGCCAATTATAGGTGAGTCCTATGAAAAGAGAAACAATTTTTTTATATCTACTACTGGGGTGGCTAGGTACTGGGGGAGGTGAGCTTTTCAGGCCTATGCTGTTGAAAATCACATGGTTCAGTGACAGCCTGTCAGGGCCAGAGTAATTCTTCTGCCTCCTCCTCAGAAAGGAGTCTCTCTTCCTTCCCCTCTTCCTCTCTCCTTCCTCCTTCTCTTTCTTTCTAGTTTCTGGCTGCTAAGGTTTTAGACCATGATGCAGGCTTTGTAACCATTATCTTTCTTTCTACCTGAAAGAACTTCACATAGCATTCTCTAGATGAAGAAATTGAGGTTCAGAGAAGAGAGGTAATTTACTGAGGCCACAAGGTGAATCAGTGAGGAATAGATGAACGGTAGGATCGGTGGCTAGGTCCTTCCCTATTACCACTATTCTGTTATTACCCTGCATTTAAAAGGGAAAAGGAAAAAAAAGAAAGGCACTCATGATGCAGTGGCAGAGACAGGAACTACATTGGAGAAAAGGACCTTGGAAATTTTGTGCTGCCATTTTAGGATGTAGGAAGTGTTTTTATGATTTGTAATTTAGGTAGATTTGGTGGGAGTGCAAAGAAATATTGAAAATCACCAATATGTATTGATTGTTGCTGTGTATCGTCAGGTCAGAAACAACTCATAGATGAGCTTCTAGTGCATTTTCAGAGGCTGTAAATTTCTGCCACGGAGCAGCTGGTAGATTCAAACCATCTGCCTTTAGGTTAGCAGCTCAATACCTTACTAAGCCACCAGAGCTCCTTATGTATTGAATCGATTGATCAAAGACCAAGAGTCGAGATATTGCCCAGCTCACAGACTAAGAATATCTGGAGAGCAAGAATTTAGTTGCCCTTCTCTTAGAAAATAATTACTGAAAGTCTATTATATTCTACCTTGGCATCTGTTCAACAAGGATTTGTTTAGCAGTTAGTCACTGTATTAGTCACTGTGCTTATCACTATTGGGGTATGGCAATGAACAAAACAGATACAATGTCCTGTCCTCATGGAGTTCACATTCTAGTGGGAAAAAGACAGGCAATAAACAAGTAAACACATAGCTCACTTATTCACACTCTCATTGCTATCAAGTTGGAACCAACTCACTGCTGACCGCCCAGTGGGTTTTCTGAGGCTGTAAATTGCATGGGAGATGGTCCATCTTTCTCCCACACAACATCTGGTGGATTTGAATTACATGTTTTTGAATTGAAGTACAATTCATTACCACTCAGCCACCAAACTCCCCATAAACACAAGATAATTTCAGATTACACAAAGTGCAACAATGGAAACATGGTGCCATGGAAACTCATAAGTGGTCCTACTTACAGTGATTAGAGAAGGTCTCTTGGTGACACTTGAACTGAGACCTGAAAGATGAGGAGCAAGTTAGATGAAGAGCTGGGAGAAGAACTTTCAGGTAGAAAGAAAAATAAAGGCCCTGAGGTACAAGTACTTGTTGCATATGTTTTGGGATCTGAAAGAAGGTATAGCCAGCCTACTCTGCACAATCAGCATCTGTCAAGAGAAGTTTGGAAAGGCTGCAGGAGCAATATGCAAGATAGAGTGATAAAGGCCTATTGTTAGCTGTTTATCTCCTGTCCACACAGAAGAAGCTCCCTGAAAACTCCCAGAGGATCCATGACCAGCCTAAGGTCATAATAGCAGTAAGGGGCACATCTCCCTGTCATCCCTGCTACCTTATGCTGGGCCACAGTTTCGGAAACTCATGAAGCCTGGGATGTGAGCCTCCCAGGAGCTGAACAACTTCAGGATGTGTTCAGTGGAAGGCCTGAGTAATTTACTAAATGAGAATTATTTAGCCTTAGTTATTTACTGGTCTTCCTACACAGTTCCTGAGCCTATATTATGTTCCAGGGGAGCTCTTCTGGAGTCCTCACACTTTCAAACCTATACAACAAAAAACAAACCTATACAACAAAAAGGCCTTTTTGAAAGAGAAGAGTGTACTGCCGGGGCGGAGAGGGGAGTGGCGGCAGCGAGAAAAGTGCAACAATGAATGAATGGGAATCCAAAATCTCTGTAAATGTTCATTAAAATTAATAATAAAAAATAAAAAAAGGCCTTCTCCAGCAGAGATCTATGGCTCTACCATAATCTGGAAATAGTGTACCTCTGCAAATTCAAGTACCCTCATTTATGCTCAAGCAATTTTGTGGCCCACAGCTCTTCTACTCTGCTATATCTGGCCTCCATCCCCATGACCTAATATTTCCATTATCTTCCTACCCACCAGTCTCTGCAGCCTATCGCTCCAATCCTGACTCCTAAGACCCACCTATTCTACCTTTCTCTCTTTAGCACCTTCAATTCCCTCCTTTCCTTGTCCTCCCTCTACATTTGATAGGATGGCAAAGGAAATGCTTACAAAGTAAACAAATCAGAAACTGTTCTGGACAATGATGTGAAACAGTGGCAAAACAACACAAGGAAAACAGACTCATCTTAAAAAAGGATGTAGTGGAAGAGCCACCATAAATCCATCAGAAGCTGCTCACCACCATAAAGCTGTGTAAAACTCGACCTCCATTAGAAAAAATATATATATGAGAAAGATAGGGTCAGACTTTCCTGACCTGATCATAATCTGTCATGAAAGTCTAATAAACTTACATTTCTTTTGCTTGCTCTTCCAGTCTCAGCAGTGTTCTATCAAAATCTTATATCTGAGTGAGAATTTTCTAGTTCTTACTCCTAGAAGCCCCTGGACCTCTTTGGAAATCATCCCCTTGACACATACACTTGACAAAACTCCAGCGTTAGATCAATTCACTTTCTCCCTCCCTTCTCCCTCACCACTCATATTCCAGGACTGCTGAGAAAATCACATAAGCAGAAGGAATGACATTTACTTCCACACTCTTAAGTCTCAGTTTGAGAAAGCTGAAAGTCTACAGAAAATCTTGGCTCCATATTAGCTATGTGTCTGGACAAGTTACTTCTCTGAGCCTCAGTTTTCGTCTGCAAAATAAGGCTAGTTACTCTTCATTAGAGCTTGAAGATTAAATTAGAACATGTGATAAAGCACACAGCCCTGTGCTTGGCTAATGTAAGTGCTTGACAAATAGGAGACTCCTTTTCTCTCCTTCTCCTAATCAACCTCACTTCTGCCTAGCAATACTACCTCTTGTTCTTGGTGTGTTCCTTCTTTAGCCTCAAGAGACAGAAAAGAAGGGGGCTGAGAATCACAGGACTGAGAAAGGGATAAGGGTTGAAAGGATACAACTTAAAGGCGAGGGATGAGAATGGAGGTTGAAGAAACTCCAAGGGCGCCTGAGATAAAAAGCCCACTCCCAGTACTAGCCAGTGGCCCAGGCTCCCACACTCTATCCTCACTCACCAGATCGGGGCTGCAAACTCTCCAGGTGATACAAGCGCAGGGCCTGGTAGTGCTGCGGGCTGGGCCCACAGGGCAAGACCCGGGAACCTGGAGCAGCTCCAGAGCTGGCGTCAGAGGGCCCAGTAAACTGGAAATCCTGGTGTCTGCTGAGAGCCAAGGCTGAGCCTCTGGGTACTGGTACTCCAGATTCCAAGACTCCAAGGTCCAAGTCAGCATAGGCTGGTAAAACAGCGCCAGTGGAGTTGGCGGCCGAGGGTTCAGGCTCCGAAGGTTCAGCTCTGGCCGGGGCTCGGTGGCCTTGCATGGTTTGGGCCTCCCTTGGTTCCAGCTCCTGAGCTCCCGGGGCGGAGGCGGGGATGGAGAAGTCCTGTTACCCGCAGACCAGCGTCCTCAGGCTCGCAGGGGAGGAGGGGCGGGGCTGAGGGCTCAACCCCACTGCAGAGACTCAAGCCCCCGGCTCATGCCCAGGCCAGCAGTTACGGCAGTGACGGCAGTAACAGCAGCGGCCGCGGCCACTGCTGCTACCGTGCTAGTAGGCATCGCCAACCTGGGGTATGAGCTCGGTGGGGCTGAGAGCCCGAAGGAGAATGGAGTCTATGCTGCAGCAGCAGTCGCTAGGAGAAGGTTGAGGACGCTCTGCGTGGGTTCTCCCGTGGATAGTTAGCCACTTCTGTGGCCCGGAGACCAGTTGACCTTATCTTTCTTGCCAAATAGAATCGATCTTTGTTCTCCTGGCTGATTTAGAAGGTTTTTCGTACTTCACCGCCCCCCTAAAACCAAACTCCTTAGCGGAGGTTGGGATAGAGGGGAGGGGAGAGAAGAGGAAAGGGTTGTGGCCTGGAGCGCACTCTCTTGCTGCGGAGTCCTCCGTCAGTCAGTCCTCCCGGAAGATGCTTTAGCAGCGGAAGCAGTAGAAATGCCTGGGCCCAACTCCACTACCCTTCCAAGCCTCAGCCTAGGTTTCCTCAGTGCCTGGGAGGAACCAAGGGAAGGGAGCCGGGAAGCTGGAGTTGTTACTGAGGCAGCCTCAGGCACCAAGGCGCTGAGGCTGTTACCCGGCCCCACCTCTCCTCAGGGATTTGTGATAAATCACGCCCCCTCATGGAGAGGAGTATCACTTCTCTTTGTGACTCCACCTTCAAGGCCCTCTTCTTGTCACTTAAAAACTCACCCTTAGCTAGCCTTCCATTCCAGGCCTGGTACTCACAGACAACTCTGGGCCCCAGCTCCCCCACCTACTACCCCAAATCTGCTTTTCAGTTCTAATCTCAGATCTACTTTCTTCTGCTAATCCTTCAGTCTCTTTTCCAGAAGCCATTCCACATGCTCCAGAGTTTCTTAGGGCTCAACTCATTGAAGTTCTGTCTTTGATAACCCTTTACAGGCACTCCCTGTGGCCATTTATTTCACCAATTCCTTGCTGGCATCTTTAGTTCCATTTTGTCTCGTCTGCCTGGCAACATTTCAACCTTGGATCAGTCCAACTGTCTGCCTTTTCCAGGCCTACACTCAGGCAACTAAACACCCCTGGAGAAAATTGTTCCATCTCCAAACGACTACAACTATAGTCCGCAGACCCTCCATGCCAACTCATAATGTGTTGTTCCAAGTTATCTCCCTCCTTCATTCTTCACAGTGGCTGTTCTTTCCACTAAAATAAATAAATAAATAGAAAAGCACCGTCAAACTAAACTTTTTCATTTGCCTCCTAACCCTCAACCTAAGACCCTACCTCCTATTTCACAGAATAAACAGAAGCTACCAAAAAGGAAGCTCTTTTAACTTCTTGCCACAAAATCTGCAGAGCTTGTTCCTTCCTTCCTTCCACTCAGCATCTAAAGTGTACTGAGAACTTTCCTATCTAAAAACAAATGCACAATTACCAAAAATTTTTCTTCTCAGTCTTAAACGCTTAAGAGTAGTGGTCTAACCATGACAAGATAAAGGTAAATAATCCAATAGAAAAATGAGCACAGGATATGAACAGACACTTCACCAAAGAATACATTTAGATGGCTAACAAGCACATGAAGAAATGTTCAAAATCCCTAGCTCTTAGAGAGGTGCAAATCAAAACAACTATGAGATATCATCTCACCCCAGTCAGAATAGCAAAATTTAACAGAACAATAAGTAACAAATGCTGGCGAGGTTGTGGAGAAACTGGAACACTTATTCACTGTTGGTGGGAGTGTAAAATGGTGCAACCACTGTGGAAAATGGTGTGGCGCTTTCTCAAAAAGTTGCAAATAGAGATACCATTTGACACAGCAATTCCAATAGAGGGAATATACCTTAAAGAGACCATAACCGACCTCCAAGCAAATATATGCACACCCATGTTTATTGTGTTCACAATAGGAGAATGGATTTTATTCTACAAGCAATAAGGAAAGGTGTTTTAAAGGAAGCAGTGTTTTTAAAGATAGTTCAAACTAGAGAAAGTACTGAAATTAATTTATTGAGGGGAAAAAAGGAAGGGTAGGAGTGAAGTTAGAAGACCTTTTCTAAATTCACAAGTGGGGAGGACAATCAAAAACAACAGCCCAAAACTGATTCATATGATTTAAAAGTCTGATATGTCTCTTCTCACTGACCTTTTTTACCAATTGTGATGTCATTGTCCCTTTTACAGTAATTCTTTTTTGTTAGATTCAAGAATTCATTGCAATGGCCATACAGAACACAAAAAATACTCAAGATTATAATGTTTATTGAGGAAATATCAGGTTACAAGTGAGGATTAGAAATAACTCAGTATACAGTTTAATCATGACAACGTCTCCTCAGCCTTGCTAACAGACTGGCCTCTTTCTGGAGCTTGGTTATTCAGCCCCTCAGCCTGGCCTCTGCTCTGCTCCAACATGTATTACAAAGTTTTTTTTATCTCTGGCCATAAGTATCCAGATATACAGTTTTAATAATTTGTCCTGCTAAGTTTAATAGCAGAGTATTTATAAGAAGTTTCAGATCATTGTAGTCTCAAATGCTTAAACAACTTTATAAGTCCATAATTTCTAACATTAACAGCTCCTTCTGTGGCTCAGTTCCCCAATTCCTCTATGGTCCTTGCGTTCAGTGATTTGCTAGATAGTCTCCCAGAGACCCAGACCCATGAGAATGACTCATGTGACTATAAATATGTGGGCTGTTTTTGCAGAAACTGGTGAGAGGTGGGCAAGGATCTTTTAGTCTATCAGTTGTGGTACAACTTTGAGTAATGCAGGCTGGCTGCTGAGTCCCAAGCAAGTATTCCACAAGAGAAAGCACCTAACACCGAGATCTCAAAAGCTTAGATAAGACTCTAGTAGGGTGGGATCATATGACCTACTATGCTGGAGATGAAAAGGTAAGAATAAATGGGGTAACTTTTATAGTTTAAAAAAACCCTTTCTAGATCCATCTTGAAATACAGTGTTGTGAGTGACAGGATCATATCCATCCACATACAAGGAAGACCTGTTAATACCACTATCATTCAAATGTATGCACCAACAACCAGAGCCATAGAAGAGGAAATAGATTAAATAGATTATTTCTACCAGTTTTGGCAGTTATAAATTTATTAGACATGCAATCAAAATGCATTAATAGTAATAGGTGATGGGAATGCATAAGGTGGGAACCAGGAAGAAAGATCAGTAGTTGGAAAGTATGGACTTGGTGACAGAAATGAGACTGAAGACAGAATGATAGAATTCCGCACAATTAATTATTTAGTCAAAGCAAATACCTTTTATAAGAAACATAAACACAGGCTATATACATGGCTTTCACCTGATGGTATGCACAGGAAGCAGACTGATTACAGCTGTGGAAGGAGTTGTTGGAGAAGTTCAAGATCAGTAGTAAAAACTAGTCTAGGTGCTGACTGCAGAACAGACCATCAACTACTCATATGCAAGTTCAAATTAAAGCTAAAGAAGGTAAAATCAAATACACAGGAATCAAAATTTGACCTTGAGTCTGTCCCACCTGAATTTAAAAATCAACTCAGGAACATGTTTGAGGTCTTGAACAAAGACCAGATGAGCTGTGAGAGAATATCATCCACGAAGAATGTAAAAGGTCATTACAAAGACAGAAGAAGAAAAAGGAGGAGGAGGAGGTGGACAAAGAAGACCAAAAACAAGAAGGAGGAAGAGGAGGAGGAGGAGGAGAGCGAAGAGGAAGAGGAGGAGGAGACCAAAATGGATGCCAGAAGAGACTGTGAATATTGCACTAGAGCACCAAGAAGCCAAAGCAAAGGGAAGTAATCAAGAAGTTAAGGAGCTGAATAGATTTTAAAGGGCAGTGTGGGAAGACAAAGCAAAATGTTATAATGAAATGCACAAAGAGCTGGAGTATGAAAATAAAAAAGGTAATGCTTGCTCAGCATTTCTAAAGCTGAAGGAACTAAAGAACAAATTCAAGCCTTGAGTTGCAATACTTCATGATGTTATGGGTAGAATATTATCCAGAATGATCCAGGAAGTATCAAAATAAGATGGAATGAATATACAGAGTCACAGCACTAAAAAGAATTGGCTGACACAGAAGAATTTAAAAAAACAACATATGATCAAGAGGCAATGGTGATGAAGGAGGAATTTCAGGCTGCTCTGAAGGACTTGGCAAAAAATAAAACCCCAGGAATTGATGGTATACCACTTGACATATTTATATTATTTTGATTGATATTTTAGTGAAAATTTATAGAGAACTTGGATTTCCATTCATTCATTGTTGCACATTTTTCTCCCTGCACCCCCTACCCCCAGTTTGCTTTTCTCTTTGGAAAAAAATTCTTTCATTGATATTGGGTGCCACCCCCTAGTCCATTTTTACTATGCAACTCTTATCCTGGACTCTTGTCATGCCAATAATACATAATTATATATTCCTTTTATACAGTTCTCTCCCTTGTCAGTTTCAACGTTGTGTACATTATTTGACCCCTCTTTTCTTAGTTTCCCCCCAACTCCCATGTCAGTCCTGTTTTATAACAGTGGCATATGCTATATTTATCCTTTTGTGACTGAGATATTTCACTCATCATAATGTCCTCCAAGGTCACCCATTTTGTATAATATCTCATAAGTTCATTGATTTTCAGTGCTGCATAATATTCCATTGTGTGAATATATCACAGCTTCTCTAGCCATTCCTTTATTGATGGATATTTGGGTTGTTTCCAATTCTTTGCAATTGTGAACAAAGCATCAGTAAACATGGGTGTACATATATCTTCTTGGATGGCAGTTCTGGTTTCCTTAGGGTATGTTGCCAGTAGTGGAATTGCTGGGTCAAATGGTATTTCTATTT